GTCCGGACGCCATGCGCTTTGGTCATCTCCGGTGGTATGGCGTGTGCTCTGGTGAAGTTCTTGGCCCTACCTCAGGTGAACAAGTGGAGGCTGTGTCGACCACAGCAATCTTAAGGCCCGATGTTCGCTGGGTAGTGGTCAACTGCTAGAGGGCGTAGACGCTTGTTGTTTGCGCTGCAGGTCTCCCGATTCATTCCACTGGTTGTTGCGATAGCTGCAGCTAAAACGGCGATTATTTTGTGAGGTGAAGGCTGAGTAGTAGCTCCAGAGTTCCCCGGGATGGTATGCGTATCAAGCTCGGAACACTTTGACGACTGCAACTTCACGACGTAACGACAGCGACATCATTTTGTCGACAAATGTCGCCTTGAAGCTAGCTTCTTAAACATTTTGAAGACCTCAGCGACATAGCAAACCGCTGATTTTAAAGTTTGACATTTTGGTATATTTATTTCACAAATTGTGTATTTTTATTTAAATAAATAAGAAAAACATGAACAATCAAGAATATGTGATTAATTTTGCGACAATTTAATTTTGCAGCACTACATCTACTCATTGTCGTCGGCAAAATTAGAAATAGATTTAATTTGGCGACGTCGACAATTGCAGTCCTGCAGCCAAGATGTCGTGCTGTCGCCAAAATAATTGTGTCCGTAAGAACGTGTGTATTTAAAATTTGACAGATGCTGGTTGTCGCTTGCTGTCGTCAAAGTGTTCCGAGCTTCAAGTTTCGCCAAAAAAAATTTGGGACATTCTACCGTAAATGTCAACGAGAAATTTTTATTTTTATCCAAAAATCTATATTTTCATCTCTTCGAGTCTAAGAAATGGTAAAAGTTCAACAAAGTCAAAATTTTTTATTTTTTTTTTTTTAATAAGCATATTAGGGTACTTTCAATGTAGAATCTTAAATTAATCTCCGTATAAGTTTAGAAATACAAATTGACACTGAATTTGTTACTAAAACATAATTTTTTCAAAATTATTTCAATAAAAAAATTGTCATATAAATATTTATGTGTGTTCATTAGCTGAATTATTGATAAGTTTAGTAGAATTAATAGAAATAAATAAATTTATTAATAACTAATCATTTTATAGCAAATTTAACTTAAAAGCAATTATTTCTGAGCTTAAAGCAATATCATCAAAATCTGAGAGCGAAACAAAAATTCAAATTATACTTATGTATGTATGTATATTTGAAGAACATATATTTTCAAGCATTAAATATTTCTACTAGAAAAAGGCTAAAAATTTAATTTTAAGACCCAGCAATTGCTTATTATTAGAATCGCGAAATAAATACGAATAGGTTCGCATTTAGTGGAAATGGAATTTTTTTTCAGAAATCCGTTTGTTAAAACAAACTTCTTTTGAAAATCGCGTACACATGAGAGAAAGAATAGATATAATTTCACATTTTCAAGAAAATTTTTTTATAAAAAAAAAACCACCACAAAGAACAAACAATTAGTTTTAATAAAAAAAGTTTGCAAATTCAGCAAAAAATACTAATTCGAACAAAAAAATTTTTTGAGAAAAGTTTCTTTATTAGAATGTTTTTTTGTGTCTTAAAATCCATTTAAGAACACAATTTCTATGCAAAAAACCAATTTTTTTTTTTACTGAAATAGAGTGCTTATCATGTTTTATTTATTAAATTTTGCAAATTTACATAAAGGAATATTTTGCCAAATACTAATTCCAATAAAAAATTTAAATAAAAAACGTTTCTTTATTAAGATATTTATTTACATTTTTTTCTTAAAATCAATTTTTTTTTTTAATAGAGTGCACATCATAAGTATATGACCATTTATTTGTTTGCTATTTAACTTTAATTATTTTTCAATTATAAAAAATTTTATAAAAAGTCTGAGTAAAAGTGTGCAATTTTGATGAAACTTTGTTGATTTTTTTTTTTTTTTTTGTACAAAGTTGAAAACTCGGATTTATAGGGTATTTGTTTAAGCATAACTATAAGAATAAATAATAAGAATAAATAGACAAAACTTGTCAACATTTGGGTGTCATATAGTTATGATGAGCACTATACTTACTTTCTACTCCTTAAAACTTTCCTTTCCCCTCAAAAGGTTTCATTACTTTTTTCTTCCATACAACAGACTCCCGGAGTTAAAAAAAACAGTGCTCACATATACACATAAAGCTTACATGAAATTAAAATAAAAAAATCACCATGGAACGCCTTTATTTATTAAGAGTTTGCGATTTTAATTTTATTAAGAATTCAGTGAAACATGTTGTACGTATGTATAATCAAATATTTAAAATTTACATAAATGTAATAATTTTTACATTACCACACATAGAACCTACTTATATACACACTTACAAATAAATAAATATTTTCACTCATTCAGTGCATGCTGGGTACACTGTGTACATGCACTACATAAACATATAGTACATACATAAATAATTCTACATACATACATATATTACGTTTACTTATAGAATACATATAGCTAACCTCAATGGTGAGAAACATATTAAAAATAATGAAGGAAATCATAAAACATATATGGAAATATTTATAAGGTAATACAGTACATATATACAAATATACATACGTCTACATCTACATATACATATAACAAATATATTAAAAAGTATGGACTATACCTACTATATTATTATCATTAAATTTAAAACAAATTGTAGGCATTTTATGTAAAACCTTTAATTTGTTGGATTCAATAATAAAAAACAAAATGTGGTTTTATTATAACAAAAAAAAAA